CGATCTGGGAATAAACTACAAGCACTGTCTCGACATTGACAATTCAGAGGACATTTCTGCTTGTTGTTTTCTTTTTGATGTACACACAAAAAACATTTTTAAATACAATTGTGTACTACATTATTAGTACTACAAGAAGTGTTCTTTAAACTGCTTTATTGCTACATCAGAAGCTATTTGAAGTGAAATTCTGCATGATATATCTTTTTAATCCAAATAAATAAGGACAAAGTATATATTCAAATACTATTTTGCAAAAGTGAATAATGGAGTTATTTATTTATTATTGATTTATTAAATCAACAACACATGACACAGCCTCAATCTGGCTGAACACGTGCACACCGTCACCAACCACAGGGATCTCACCCACACTACCAGCCCCAAACAGACAGGGAAACAGAGCCTAGATACACACACACTAATCAGCAATTAGACACAGGTGGGGGGGGGGGAGGAGACAACACAGGGCACCAGGTGCACACAATCAACAGCAACAGACATGGGGAAGGGGAACCACTTTAACATAAAACCAGCAAACAGAGACAGACAAACTAAAACACAGACAGATGCACACACTACATACATTTCGCCACCAACAAAATTACACAATTCGTAACGGATCAAATACATTTAACTACTCAACTCTTAATTGACCCTCCACCATAATGTTTCAATGTGTTGCTTTCTCATTAAGCATAAAAGGACGACAGCTGCATACTGTATGCAACCCTGTGTTTTACAAACTAACCATAATCTTACAAAATCATCAACGTCATTTTACTATGTCTACTTCAAATTCTTAGAATCATCTGGTTTGTTGTTATTTTTGCTGGGGAGGAACATGTCTATTAGCTGTACTGTAGTATTTATATTGTCTGTATTTATCGCTTACAGCAAATCACGCAGCACCAGGAGCGTTTTGTGCAGATGTTGAATGAACCAAGACCTGGAGACACGGAAGGGGAAGGGGAGGGGGCCGAGGGCCAGGGGCCGCCACAACCCAACTACATCCAGGTCACCCCCCCAGGAGAAGGAGGCCATCGAGAGGGTCAGTTACCACTCAGTGTTCAGTCCCATTGAATTGATCTTCTCTGGAAAATTCAGCAACTTGCTCCATGATCAAATGGGTTAAAACAAATTATGCTTCTTAATGGTTTGCTCCAGTAATAAAAGCTATGCTAAAGTATTTATTTTATCTTTTCAACACGTAGTATTGTATACACTGAAGATGAATATTGCTACATGTATTTGAATCCTGGTGTATGGTGTACATCATAGTGCTCCAATGATTGATGATGATACTGTTATAATGGATCCTGTTGTGATGTGTTAATCTGTAAGTGAGTGCAGCCTTACCAGCAGGGTTGGGAGGATTATTATAAAATGTATTCTAATACAATGACTAGTTACCTTTAAAACAAAGTAATCATAACCTTATATATCACAATTGAAAGTAATGTTACTTGCCACTGTTACTTCCGTTACCTTTGGGGTGACGTCAATATCATATGCAATGCAAATGAATACAAGGGAAAATAAATATATATATACTTCAGTGTATTCTGTAGACAACAGAACAATGTAACCTTAGAAAAGAAGAAACGAAGATATTTAGTATCAAAATATGTCTTCTGCTCAGAGATTTTATATATAGGAAAACCTGCCATTCATGAAGCATTCTCAGGCAGTATCGTTATAGAGACCAACCATGAAACACATGAGCACATACTGCAGTTTAAAAAAGCAGAAGAATCAAATCTGAGCTAACAGAAAGTGCTCTGTTTTAGTCAATACATACAGTTAACACCACATAAAGGGAAAATCATAAATCAAATTCAGGTAGTAGGCGTATGGATTCCAACTTAAAGTACAGAACATTATAACTTATAAATAGAGAAATAAAAACAAGTATATGCCTCAAACGCGCCCACAGTAGTTTTAAACAAATCAGGTGATGGCCTCACTCATGGCATGACTCCTTTCACTTTGAGACTCATGAAGTGTTTTCATTTGTGCAAATGTATTTCCCAATATATTTTTCTTTTTAACTGTAAGCTTATACAGTTAACCTTTTTATATCCTAATTATACCGTTACATGTAATCTATTACTCCGCAAGCCTGCTTACCAGTAACTGTTTCAGAGAGCCTTTCTGTTATGTGTGTGTAACATAAATGTGTGTTCTGTTCCAGTTAAAAGCGCTGGGCTTTCCTGAAGGCTTAGTCATCCAGGCTTACTTCGCCTGTGAGAAGAACGAGAATCTAGCTGCTAACTTCCTGCTACAGCAGACATGGGACGACGAGTAGCCCCACACACCTGACACTTCACCAACAGAGGGCAGCAGAGTCCACGACAGCCAAACACAAGGTCCATCAGGGAGGGGCAGGAGCAGGGGAGGAGGTGGACATTGCTGTTCACGCCATGGGGCTGAGGATGAAGGGGGGTGAATGTGATGATGACATGCTGAAACTGTGCCTCACTGCTGCTATCATTACCGCTGCTGCTTGTGCCCAGTGATCACACTGAGAGAACAGTCTGCATCACCTTCACAAGAGTCGCCTGTAGAACATGTTAAACTTACTCTACTGTACATATACAGTGCACACCACAGGTGCATCTGTTTGTGAATATATTCATGACTTAAATGGGAATTTGCGAACCCTCCATGTTGGGTTTAACTGGACATGTGATTGCAAACTGTTAACTGTTTGAGAGCTAGCATTGCTTTATATTAAGTTCAGGTCTGATCGTTTTATCATCATTTACTGTGCTTCTTTAATACTTGGTTAAATATCCCTATACAGTTCAAATATCTCAGACTCCAAACAGCACAATTTCATTGTAGTATTGATCTTTCAGTAAACCAGTCAGAAGTTGTTCTGCGGTTCTATTAAGAAAAGGATACCTGATAAATGTTTAGACAATAACTCAAAATGTTGACTTATTAGTAAGTCAAAATAAGATCTGATTTATTGATATGGTATTTAACACATTTTGAGATAATACTTAAAGTGGCCCTATTGTGCTGTTTAGGGTTTTCCATTTCCTTTAGTGTACTTTATACTTTTGTGTGCATGTAAATGGTCTGCCAAAAGCTGAAAACCCCTCAGGGAGTTTTTCTCTCCCAAACACACACAACTGGCCAGCTAACCAATCAGAGCAGACTGGGCTCTGGTTTCAGACAGAGGGTGAAAAGAGCTGCTGCAGCACAGGCAGTATGAGAAAACTAAGGACATTTTTGAACATTAAAGCATGTAAACATGTCACAGTAGAGACACTAAATACAAATACGAACCTGAAAAGGAGCATAATAGGGCCTCTTTAATAATGTTTACCTATTTCATCAGATTTGATTTTTGAATACTATACTATTTATTCTTTTGTTGATCTTGACTTTTTATTTTTATTTTTATTTTGGAATAAATTCGGCTTAGAAAACAAAGACTTTTAAAGCTTGGTATAATCTGTCTCCTTGCACTCGATTTAAAAGATAATAAATCAATTGTTCAGTGAAGTCACAGTATATTATGATTGCTTGTCGTCCAGATTATGTGTGCTATAATATTTGGTCAGAGAAGAAAACACTCAGCTCGATTTGTCAGTATGGTTTTCTTGTGTGGAGGGTTTGTTTTTCTTGGGTTTGTTTTTTTTGAAGATGAAGGAATTTGAAGATTGGTCATGATGTGCATGTTTTTGTGAGCTGAATATTTGAAAAAAAAGTGTTTTTCTTCCTTAACATTTTATTTGTTGGAATGATAAAATAGTCCATTTATGCATCCCAAAGCTGTAAGAGTTTGAAGCATTGCTTCCTTTTGGTTTTTAAAGACTTCAACGTGTTTTATTTTTCAAATGGAGTTATATAGTTTTACAATCAAATGTATTGGATGGACAAGTGTTGTAGGATTGGGGATCATAATTACAGTTTTAATTATTAAGTCATTGTTTCAGAAGTGGGCTAAAGGGAATTCAAATAAGTGCTAGATGCCAACACCATTGTTTTTTAAATCTTTCAGCATGTATTTTGATGTCTCTCCTTTTAGTTCTCCCTTGTTATGTTTGAACTGGACATTACTGGAAGTTTTGTATTATATGGTAAATGGATTATACACACTTTGGGGGGGAAAAGCACTTTACTGTGACATATTGCTGTTCTTAAACTGCAAGGGGTTGTTGCATGAGATTGTTGCAGTTATTTATAGCATGACAGTGGGTTGGAACGATGACAAGCACCAGGGTGGTGAAGCTCTGATCTCAGTTTCTCTGTTGTTTTACCCATTTTGTGTGCTGTTTTTTCTTTTAGGTTTAAAAAATACAACTTTAAATACACAATCTAATGTATTGCTAAATAGTTGTGGAAAACCTTTGTTAAAGCATTGTGTACAAATAAATGGCTTTTACAAAGCGGCTGTGACAAGTGGATTGTTTTATTATTGATTGTTCTTGGTGCCAGAATGAATGTAATCCTCACACATTTCAGGGACACTGATCTCACAAAAATATCAGTGTGTGTGTTTGTATCACACCTCTTTCAAACATCAGAAAAATTCACAGCTGACCTGCCTAATACATTTGTTTTATTTGATTACAATTGTTAAAGTTAGGTTGTTTTCCCCCCTGTAATTAGAATTGTAAATGTTACACTGTGTTAATGTCCCTATATGTTGTTCTTACAAAAATATATATTTATGATGGCAATTAAGGTTTATTCTGAGCTATGTTTTCAAACACATTGGAGAGGCTTTCCTCAACTAGTTTTGTTGGCCAAACCTAACACAATTTCTGGCATGAAAAACCTGACAGCTAAACTCCTCTTAACAGTGTTTAAAACACCTGATATACAGTACATATTGTATATTAAAGAACCTCTATATATTATAACATTATAAGAACTCTTGTCTTGCTTTAATGTTTCTGCACCCTTGTTGTTTTTATGCATTTAAAAATGTTAACGCATGTATGTCTTAAAAGGCACAATCAAAAGCAAAACCACACAAAGCCATGTCTGACTCAGAGTGGATGTCCAGCCTGATGGAAACAGGCCCGGCACCCAGGCAGAAGAAATGGTTCGAGCTGTATCAAAGGGTACAGCAAGTGTTCATGGCACAATGTATTTTAATAATTGTATTTCCTCCTACACCAATGAAATTATTCAACCTGTTTTTACTCCATCAAATGCACAGCAACTATTTTCAGATTGAGTGTCCAATGCAGGCACATGGAAATAAATCCTTGTTTGGCCAAGTGCAGCAGTGCCCCTGTGGATTCCCCCTCAGAAGGTAACACTCTTAAAAACTGATGTTGTGTGTGCAAGTGTTTGCTTGCGTGCATATCAGTAAACAAACAAATTACTGATGTACTGTATGTACACTCTCATGGAACAACAGCCAGCTTGCAAGTCCAGTCCACAGAGATGTGGGACAGCAGAGTGCAGCAGTGGGACACCTGCGACCACTGAACTTGTCAATGGTTTTTGGACAGTTATTTACCACTCATATTTGACCATGAACATTTTAAGTTGAATTATATTTGGACAGTATAATCGTCCCATGACACAGCCATTTGCTTTATTGCCTTTCAGTTACCAAGTTACACTTATATGTTAGGAAGGCTGAGGAATAGTCTCATGCTTGATGTCGTTTTTGCCAGTGAAAGATAGTAAATCTACTGAAATCATTGATCTTTTAAAAGGAATTTTAAATCAGTGATTCCAGGCTGAATGCAGCAAACATTTGTTATAAACGATTTTTTATGAATGAAAATCCATTTGGTCAAGATATTAAATAATGCAGTTTTATTAAATAATGAGTTGTTCCACATTTAATTCATAAATTACACTTGAAAGCTAACAAATATAGTGTTTCCTTAGAGCAGCTGAAAAATAACTTTGATTGTGTCGTAAATGCTATGTTGTTTTTTTTCAAACAAATGTCAGTATATTTATTGCCATGCTTTTACAGTCTGCACACCCTGTATGACTGTAGGGGGCAAACAACTCCAACAAGTATGGCAAGCACTTTTTAGTCAAATTGTTTTGAAGAAATAATCATAAAGGTGCAAACAGTGTAGGCAAGGTAAAAGAGCATAATTGAATGGAGTTGGCAGCTTGCTGTTGCCGGGTGTTGTCGGGCATTGGGATTTGTCCGCTAAGGGGAGCGTTTTCCCTGGAGAGGAGGGTGGGTGCGTTCCCGCAGCACAGGGAAGATGGCCAGCTCTCACATCTCTCACCCAGGTAAAGATTGCAGCAATTTACGACTCTACACTTCATCTTAAGGATAAGATCATTTATAGCATGACACAGTATGTTCGGTTCATGACATTGTAATTTAAACTGACTTGAACTAAACATGAACTCGCTTTGAAATGCACGCTACAAATAAACCCGTCAGCTGGTCGGTTCAGGCCTATTTCAGTACCGTATGTAGCGGGCTTGTTAGCATCAGCTGTTGCCAGTTAGCCGTGCTGCCATTTACCTACGACAACAAATTACGAAATAAACTGACTAATTACACATTTAAAGACAATAAGCATATCGTACACTGTATACACATTTGGGTACATGCTGGCATGCACACGTTAAACGTAACATAGCATCTTAAACTATGATACCGTTCAGTCCTTCAGCTAGCAAACCTTAGCTAGCCTAGCGCTGATGTCAAGTAGAGTGAGGATGGTGATAAACATGCTAGGGAGGCTAGGAGGCAGGCTAAACAGGAGGCAGGCTAAAAAGGAGGCACAGGAGGCAGGCTGAACAGGAGGCAAAGGAGGCAGGCTAAACAGGAGGAATGCTAAATAGTATGCAGGCTATACAAGAGTCAGGCTAGGCTAACCTCAGCTAACCTGGGCTTAGCTTGGCTAATGATGCTGATGTGAGTTGGCTCTCCAGTCTACTGGGGGTGAAAGTGTTTCTTAAAAAATGTATTCCGTTAAAAATACTATTTACATGTAAAACATGTAAACAGTAACCTAATCCATATAAAGTAATGTAACCTGCTACTTTTGTATTAAGTACAAGGCAAATATTGACTTGAGAAAATAAATCTCATCAAGGAAACACAGTATTTGTCAACTGCATTTAAGAAAAGTGAATTAAATGAGCCCTAAATGAAAATCAGAAGGAAAAAATTCCAAGTTTTGTTCAATAATTGTATCATTTACAAATTATGGGTTGATTCCTGATATGACAGTGTATATCCACATCTGAAAGGCACAGCTTGCACTGATTTGATGTGATGTTATTTCCCTGTTCACATTTGAACACAACATAATGGGATCATTTCCACCCTGTGAAAGCTTTCTTTGAACTAGAGGCTGTGATAATGAATGGGTAGATAAGCTGTGGTTTAAGCATGTGCCTCCTAAAATATATTGTTACATTGTTGTCTTGATATTGGTCTTAACATTTTTATCATTTGATAACATCTTTCTTCCGTAACTGTAAGGGAATACAGTATCCTGCTTATCTGATCCCCCTTACATGTTTTCTGTTATTCATCAAGCCTGCTGTGCTTGTGCAGCAGTCATAACTGGAAATGTAGTTATTTTGGAATATTCATTTTGTTATTGATTGTGCGCTGCAGTGCTTTGTGATATTTCAGCTGAATTGATACTCAGCAAGGATTTTGAAGAGCACTATTCTAGGCGCAGCTAGGCAATTTGAGTTGGTGTAGTTGACATGGCTTATTGTGGCAAGGTCATTCTGAGGTTGTAGTAAATATAAGAATATAGTGCTAACAGGCTCTCAGAACATCTAGCTGAAGGAACCTCACTTATATAGAGATAGAGAAGGGAATTGGGTTGTTTATAGTGCTTTAACATTTTTTTATCTCTGCCACAGTTATCTAGTGGGAACCCTGTATATGAGAACTTTTACAGACAGGTAAGATGATGAGCCAAATATTAATAAACTATATATTTATACAATAAGAGTAGTATAATTGCCTTTATCATAGTTCTTGAAACACACATGAATGGCAGATCACATGTTTTAAGTGAGAGTTCATTAGGAGGATATGGAAGCATGACATTTGTCATTACAATGTATTTAATTCAATCACTCAAAATGTTAACGTTTGCTCCAAGTGGGACCCTGGGAATACGGGTAGAGTTTGGACCAACAGAAGCTGCCTGTTCCTAAAGAAGTCTGGACTCCCTGACATTACATTGGGAAAGGTAGGTTGTTGAATACCGTGTTTCTGTGTACTGGAGGAGGGTGTCAATGTAACTTGTTATAGAGCTGGAGAGGTATGTGTGTCTCATACATCAGCTGTTAGCAGTTGCTTGTGGATCATACTTGATTTAACCCTTAAAGATCCACAAAGAAACATTGTTTTCTTTTTTAGAGGCGAAAGGGGATCTTTAGAGGAAGATTGCAGGTCAACAGTACAAGCCAAATAAAAGGGATTTACTTCATCTGGAACTTGTTTGTTAAGGTACCTATATATAAGGGTTGTAAGGGCTTGCAACATTACAATCAAAGAATATAATAGCGATCACCCATGCTCTTTATGTACCTTTCAAGTCTCAAGTTGTTGCAGCAGTTTTTTGTTCTGATAGCATTTGCCACACAGATTTAAACATTTTTGACCACGCGAGAAGAGAGAATTGGTAAAAATGATCAAAAAATTCCTTCAAAATACCAAATCTAGTGGTTGTACACATGCAGCGTATTTTATCGCCTGGAGGACAAGATGTGCATCAGTCACCTGCTTGGTGCCTACTCTCGTGCTGACTTTTCAAGGGCACTAAAGCAGGTTGCGCAGGACGTTGCTAAACCCTCAGAACTAGCTCCTTGTAACATCTAGTCTTCTTCAAATCATTGTTTTTAAATTATTCATTTTAATATAGTCTTTGGGACAACAGTGTATTCCCAAAACATGTTTTTTGTCTCTGCTTTAGTCGCTCTGTGTGTATGTGTGTTTTAGAAGGCTACTCAGATATATAGGAAGTGATGGACAGATCCTAAGCTTTGGATAATGGTAGCCCTGCAATAAAATGATCACTTCTCCTCCATATTTACAGAAAACTGATATTTATGGGAGTAAGGATATCTGCCTTGTGTGATTAGTTGTTCCTTATCATTTGACAACTTCAAAAAGCTTCCACGGAGTGATGGCATCGCCCTCATGTTTGAGCATTAATGAATCTGCCCCTGAGTTCAAGATGACTCAACAAAAATCCTTTTGTTTTACAGGAAGAGTAAAGAGTATTTTGAAATGAAAATACTTCTATAATCCATAAATATATCACTGAATTAGATATACTTTCTTCACTTTTGCGTGTTTGTGTCTTGTGTTTCAGATTTGGGATTTGGCCGATCCCGATGGTAAAGGATATCTTGACAAACAGGTAGGGAACAGATGACTTCTCATCCAGTGCTCTGACTTTGAGAATGTGCTTAACAGAGAAATATTAAAGCACCATAGATGCCATTATGCTTAAATACCTGATCTCAGATGACCACATGTATATACAACCCCAAATCCTTTAATGCTTGTTCAGCAAACATTTATCTGAAAAGGCAAAGAGAACATTTGAATTGTTCTAATGTTTAAATATTGTTCAATAATGTTTCTATGTTTTGTTATTTCATTTCTCAATAACAGTTTTGATACATCATGCTACATCAGTGTTTGTTATCTGAGTTAGAGAATAAGACTGATGGATAATAATGTGTGTTTTCTGTCTCAGGGGTTTTACGTAGCTCTGCGTTTGGTGGCCTGCGCTCAGAATGGTCATGAAGTCAGTCTCTCCAGCCTCAACCTCACAATCCCCCCACCCAAGTTTGTGAGTAGGACTTCATCACTTAACTGAATCCCATTAATTCTTTGCAATCAAACAAGATACAACAGTTATTTTCTGGTATTTTGCATCAATATGTAAATAACAACAAACCTTTTGACATTTTTACAACACTCTAAATTAATTATATGTATCGTGTTATTAAAACTTGTATGAAATTCTCAATATCAGAGAAGAAGATGGGTCTTTAATCCATCCAGCTAGTGATGATGATGTGACATTTATGTGACGGCCATCTTTGTTTGTCTTATTTCAGAAGGACACCAGCAGTCCGTCTCTAAGCAGCACAGCTCCTCCCTCCAGCGAATTACACTGGGCTGTCAGGGTGTGTTGAAATATATATATATACACACACACACTATATACTTGAAACACTTATATAGATATGCTATAACAATTAATTCTTGTTTATCACACATGCTGACGAACCACAGGGGGTCTACAAATAAGAAATAATTTAGCAACAATAGTTATAGTAATGGCAGTTTCTGCTTAAAACAGGGAGCTGCAGCTGTGCATGGCAGAGGGCCGTGGGAACATAAAAAAGTGCACCATGTTGCTTTTATAGGTGTTAAACCACAGGAGCAGTCAAAGTGTTCTCACACGCGTTTGGCTCTATTATCAAGATAACTGGGCTGTTCAGGGTCAGCTGTTCAGTTCACACCATGCTGAGCAAAGCTCAATGCCTGCCAATCATTTCTTTCCTCTTTCAGTGAACTGCGCACACACACACACACGAGAAACCACAACCATCGGCTCCACCCGATTTTAAAATAACCCACTACATTAGTGTCATCTGATTTTACACACACACACACACGCACACACATACCATGTATACATCACTTCAGGGGACATTACATTGACTTACATGCATTTCCTGGAGACTTATCCAAACCATAACCAACACATGCCTAACCCTAACCAAGTCTTCACCCTAAAATTAATGATTTCCCTCATGATACACGTGACTGTGTAAAGAGATTTAGGTCCCCACAAGTATAGTAATGCTAGGACACACACACACACCACCACCACACACACACACACCACCCACACACACACACACACCACACACCACACACACTAAAGACTTTACAAATGAAACATCGGCATTTACAAGAAATTAGTTTGCAGATATATCGGTATTGTTCATTTTTCACACTGTAAAATTTCATTTTTTTTTTCATTACTTCCAACAAAAATAACTCTCACATAGTATTATATTGTTCATGCTCTTAACACTCAGTAGTAAACCATAGAGTTGAAGAATAATCTGGAGCTCTTTGTGAAGTCAAAAGACAGAGTGAGGCTTGGTCAGTATAACATTTAGATCAGGCTTTTAAGATAACCTGTGTGTTTCTTTGTAGCCCGAGGAGAAGAATACATTTGATGGGATTTTTGAGAGTTTGGCTCCAGTCAATGGCCTGCTGTCAGGAGACAAGGTGAAACCAGTCTTAATCAACTCCAAGCTACCTCTGGACGTCCTTGGGAAGGTATTGACTTAAGCTTGTCGATTCTATGACGATGGTTAAAATACTCAACCAGAACATAAATGTGATCTGTTTCCCCGACAAATATGAAGTAGCATGAATGTCATCGTGGCTAACAAAACTGTTATATGTAACTTTGTCAAATAACTTGCTTTTCTTCCAACATGGATTCATATGAATGAAATAACATATGTTAGAGATCAGTTACCCCTTTCATCGCGCTGAATGATCTCATCATGTGTACTTCCTGCTGCCAGGTTTGGGACCTGAGTGACATTGATAAAGATGGCCACCTGGACAGAGATGAGTTTGCAGTGGTGAGTTTTATCTTTTGCATTTGTACTGTTTTAGGTTTGATTCTCTATAGCCTGACGCAACTGTGCCCCCAAAACAGCCTAAGAAGGTGGTCTGTGGATAATTACTATTATTTAGATCAGTATTAAGATTAGTGTTATCTGTCAGGATTATTCAATGATTAAGAGACAAATATCTTTAAATGGTACTGACAAAATCAGTCAATCACATGAAATCTGTAAGGGGAGTTTTTTATAGTGCGGCATCCTAATGTAAAACAAACTGGCAGTCCACGTACTGGGGACTGGTTCTATTTCGGCCTGTTCAATACCGTCACTTCAGTAAAGACACTGTAGACCCAAAATTGTAAAAAAAGATGCCAAAATATTCATAAAATCTGACTTTTTGTTGGGTTTAGGGTATACCAAGAATATCCTTTTTTGGTCGTCTCCACATGTTACATGTACCCACCTAATTTAGCACAAGTAGGACAACACACATATGGGCGTTGCGTTCTAGGTGGCGCTGTTAAGTCATTTCCCCACCCCTATGTTAAAGAATCCTATGCTATGTACATATACACTATGTACACGTTTTGTGCCAAATAAAATGGTGTTTCTGAACATGTTTAGGCCCACAACAATGCAATTATTTTATTAAAAATAAGATAATTCCTACAATAACATTATGACAATTCATCCTGTTGTTGTGCTCTGACCCTAATAAATACTAGATCGATTTCTTTCTCGGTATTAGAATGTGTGTCTGGACTGGGGGGGAATACCAGGTTTTGATCAAAATGAGTTTTCTAAAAGCTTTATATGCAGCCAGTTAGAATGCATTAACAGCAGGATCTGCTCACCCTAGGCCATGCACCTGGTGTACCGGGCCTTGGAGAAGGAGCCGGTCCCCTCCCTCCTCCCCTCCTCCCTCATCCCGCCGTCCAAGAGGAAGAAGAGTCTGGGCTCAGTGGCTGGCTCTGCCACTGGACTACCTGCAAGCCCCCCCCACCAAAAGACTCGTTACGCTCCACACCCTCTCATGGCAGCATGAACTCACTCAACAGCACCGGCAGCCTGTCGCCCAAACACCACTCAAGTCTGGACAGGTAATACACACTATGTACACTCCATTAATCAGACACTATAATCCATAATATAACTCAAACTGGAGGAATAGTTATGGTTAAAACCTTTATTTATTTTAAATCCTTTATTTATTTGCTTTGGCTTTACATAACTATCTTAATACTCTGTGGCTCTCCATAAAACCACTCATTACAAAGCCAAAACATTATTGAAAAGCAGGCACAATAAAAAAGTTAAAGGAATCTAAGCAACAGTTCATTTTTATCCTACTAAGTATATTTAAATTGCATTATTCTTTACATCAATGCTTACTTTGTTCTAAATAAACACTGTAGTGGTGCACTGTTTGGGACACCGTTTACAAAAATGTACATTAATAAACATATATTAGATTGGTCTTTTGTACTGATGGCTGTATGTAGCACTCTTCAGGACTTTATGACTATCACGTAAAAACCCAGTGATTGAAAATGTCCTGGAAAATAGTTTCTTGGGAAGAACTTTTCATAAAGTTCTACCCTGCCATATCTGCCATAACCACCTGGATAATGCTCTCTGAAGAAGAGCCATACTGACTTGTTCTGAATAGATTTATGTTTAATTAAAACATATATAACATACATTTGTTTAATTCAAGACTTGTTTTGAGTCAAAGACACAAAGAATTTCAACATGAGCATCTCCTCTATCTCGGTTTCAGCATTCATTGAACTGGGTGGTCCCAGTGTCAGACCGTGGTCGCTATGACGACATCTTTCTGAAGACTGACGCCGATCTGGACGGTTTTGTCAGCGGGCATGAAGTAAAGGACATCTTCATGCACTCTGGACTCTCTCAGAACCTCCTGGCCCACATATGGTAGGGACCCTGAGAGACTCGCACAGTGGGGTCAGTGTGCTCAGTATAATTGAGTTAGCCCAATGTAATTCTGTTGAACGTCTGCTCCTCCCTGCAGGGCTCTGGCAGACACCAGGCAGCTAGGCAAGCTGACCAGGGAGCAGTTTGCCCTCGCCATGTATCTCATCCAGCAGAAGGTCAGCAAGGGCATCGACCCTCCACAGGCCCTGACTGCCGACATGTTACCCCCCCAGAGAGAGGGACCCCTGTACCAGTAGGTCACACACACACACACTTGTCACACACACACTTGTCACACACACATGTCACACACACACACACACACACACACAACAATATACAGTATACTGTATCTATGTAATTCATAGGGCTCAGGAGGTAAAGCAGGTTGTCCACTAATCTTAGGGTTGCTGGTTCGATTACTGGTTCATTTAATTGTGGGAAGCCCAAGAAATGATAAACCAAAGATTCCATTAATTGTGTCACTGCCTGGCGAAATGGCCCTGCCCACTCTCCGGTGAAAATGTTTTCTCATGCCTTTTTATTTTTCTGTGTTGTGTTTTGCACGTCAAACAACAAAAAGAACCAAAGTTAAAATGTTGTTTACTTAAAAAAATGATAAAATAAACTATCTGTGGCTTCAGGCCTCCACAGAGAAAACAAAATGAATGGTCAGTCAATACTTGTACGTTGGTGGGAAACAATTTGTCACAGCTGAAGTATGATGCCAAGGAAATCCCAGATTCAGTGTTGGCCTGCTGCCTTACTTCAGAATCTGTATTTACTGCCAGTCAAATGACCGCATATGTTTTCACCAAAAAAGGGGCGCTGTCATGACGTATTGGGGAAGTACCCGGCTCTCATTACCTTTTTAGGATTGTAGCAAGGGAAATTTCTTTATTTCAGACAATCCTGGATTTACGTATTTATTTTTTATGTTCCTTGTGTTAAATAATAATAAGTTAAATGAAGACAGCAAGATACTTAATTTCTTAATTTCACCCTCTTTCCATCCAGGGCTCTAGTAATGTTCATTGTACTTGTTCCTTTCTGTGATTGTTTTACCATTAACTGGTTAATCCAAGTATCGTTAACTTTGTACCTTTACAGCATGACATCATGATAACATTATGTAACAAAAAAGAACAGGAAACCTAGTGCTAATGTATTTCCAAAGGTGTTGTCTCTTTTGACATTGGATGAGTTAAACCTGTTGCTGATGATACAAAATCATAAACTAAGTATTGTCTCTCTGTGTGCAGAGTATGTCAGGATACATGACCCCAGTGGGATCGGAGATGGCTGCTCTGTCTGAAATGAGAAGGGTGAGTCCTTTTCTCTTCTCTCATTTTGTTCACCCTTAGCATATTTGGGCTTAAAGGTGTACACATTTGTCTGCTAGACACTGTGTTTTTATCTCCAAAATCCCTCGAAAAAGTTACAAATGTAACCCACAGTAATGGTAAACATAAGATGAGGTAAATCAAGATATTTACTCCCCACTGTTGTACTGCAAGTCTTTCACTGCTGAAGTGTCTAACGTCCCCTCTTCCTCCTCTCTCAGGCTATAATGTTGAAGTTGTGGGTAGGTAACATGGACCTACAGTGTATGAACCTATAAATGCTTTC